TTTTATTGTAAACGACAATGGAAACAACAGCCCAATGACTTTTCTTTAAAGGCTTAATTTATTTACCGTACACCCGTGCATTGTATTATGACTGCAAACAGTAGGCTATCGATAATTTAAGAAATGTGATATGCAGTCAAATTTCCCAGTATGTATGCCACTTAAACGAGTGTTCATATCGACGCGCTTGTAGTGCTTTGTGGAGTTGTCAAATGTATGAGGTACCCCCCACCCCCTTCACTCCTTCACCCCTTCACCCATTCACCCAACACGGACACACACAGCACCCCCAACCGAAAACATCTTCCCGCGCCCCTGCTAGTACTTCAACCCACAGACTTGTTAATTTGGAAAATGTCCCTATTATGTTTACTTGGATATGAGTGATCTCCGTATTTTTACCTTAACTGCCATGTATGCATGTGTGTGTCAAATAACACAAAGTCTGGCAGATGGTGGGGGGATGCTGTTTTTCCACTTGAGTGAAGCATCAGCGTGCTGCTAAGACGATTTCCTCGATTTCTGCAGCGACCGGTATTAAACTAACAGGACTGTGTGTAATACTCCCTCCAGGCCTGGAGAATCACCCACACATGTCTGCGTTATGTGTTTATGCAGCGCTCATCAGTTTTAGGAAGATCATTTGGATTTAAACCTCCCACCTGATGTGATTTGACTGTCAGGTGCTGTCGTTGAATTGCTTGCTCTATGTTAAAGGTGGACAGGATTCTGCCTAATGCCTGTCATGAGAGTTATAGCCCAGAGTAATCATTAACTACTTGGTCCTGTGTGTAAATGGAGCATGAGATTCCACTTTTATCTTAATTGCACTTCATCTTCCCCTCTCTCTCTCTGTCTCTCTCTCTCTCTCTCTGTCTCTTACTCTCTTTCTTTCATTCTCTTATTTGTGCACTCATTAGCTAAATAAGATGCTCAGTATAACAAAAACATCAAGTCAGCTCAAAATACAGGCCACTGAACAGATGAGCCCCAGTGTGTTCTACTGGCTTGACTGAAGTATTAAAGTGTTAGGTTGAGGATCCAGTGACAATGTTAAATTTAGCATATGCATGTATGTATCATGTATGTATATGTCTATTAGACTTGTGCCGGTATTCGGTAATGCGATATATCAAGGTAATGAATATGCACGATATTGTTATCGTGGGCACTTCTAAATACCGTGCATAATTATATATTACAAATTATTTAGAATTTTGAATGCATTTTAAGAATACTTTTCCCATCAACTGGTCAAAATGCACAACACCGCTGTATGCTGCGTGAAAGACGCGTGCACACTCTGATGGAAATAAGCGCGGACGAGAAGCACATGGCGAAACATGTGAGAGACGCTCTGGATGAAAGCGCACTTTCACTCTCTGACAGCAGATGGCGCTAAACTGCAGAAATAATAATAATAATAATAATAATTCATTTAAATGCAGCCGTTACCCCGGAAA